AGAAATAATGGACATGTCCCAAATGATAGTGTCAACCCCTTACTGCCCTCTAAATCTACACTTGATGCCTGGTTGATAAAACTTGCTTTTATTGTCAATCAATACTGATGATACCAGAACAAAACTCTCAATTAAAAGAAAAAAGGACAAACCTAGCCTAAAGCTTGAGAAATAATGGACGTGTCCCAAATGACAACATTAGTCCTCACTGTCCTTCGCAAGGATTGTTGAGGTAATATTCCACTATGAGGTCCATAAACGTTAACAAAAGGTTTAAAAAAAGCACCCTTCTCAAACCTAACATCACAAATAGGACAGTATACGGTCTTGTGGATTTCATGAATCTGCAGAAGCAAAGACCACAAGGCCACTCCACATCAAGTGTGTCATTTGGGATGGGGCCAGCACACATTTCACACACCGATAAGTTCATAATGCTTGCCCTTAAAATAGCTTCTTAAATCAACATTGTGGAGAGGAGCACTGGGGAACCTTTGAGTGCTTCCCAGCATGGGGACTCGTAGACCTGGAGAGTGAGATATAGACTGAAGCTTTCAAAAGAGGTGTTGAGTAACACTACGATTGTGAGAAAAGCCCTTCATTAATCATGAGGGTGGTGGTAGCTATCAAGCTAACAGCTAGGTCTCCCCCTTATGTTTTAAGGAACACAGTATCTGGATGGAAGACCACAGTGAGCTTCACGGCACGGGCCAGGCAGGGATTCCTACGACGTGAACCCAAAGCTGGGGTTCAGATTCCACACTCCCTCCTGTCAGGGGTAATTTAGAAGGAAAAACAGGAGGAGAAGATGAAGAGGTTTGAATAGCTGCTCCCCCTTGCAGACAGCCAGTCAAACATGTTCTGTAGACAATGAGACCACCATCCCCCCTCTCGACACTTGCACAAACTGCATACACAAGCACAGACACACACACACACACAACAGTCAAAAGCATGAGCATTCCTCTCCACACTGACACTCCCATCTGAGAGGCCAGGCCAAACTGGGTTTAACAGAATAGTGATCATTTTATCAGGGGTTCATTATCCTAGCCTGGTTCTGACACAAACCCAACCCTATCCCCCAGTTAAACTCAAATAACTATCTAGTAGGGTTGAACGATTGTGGAAAATAATCTAATTGCGATTTTTTTTACCAATATTGCGATTGCGATTTAATATGCAATTATTTTTTTAAAGCTCTTCATGTTCTGTATTATTCAACAAAGGCAAGCTATAAATGATTGTATAGTATGCTCAACACACTATTAGATAGATTAAACATAAATGTTCTTTTCTGTAGGCCAGGCCTATATGTTACGATGAAATTAGGTGATGCATGAATTGATATGAATGACATTTTTATTTAACAACTACAATCACAGTATGTTGTCGGATCTGTTGAACTTCCAACCTTGTAAGCATGTAATAATTATGTTTAAATAAGCCTGGTGTAAACATTAATATGAAAGTCAGTAACAAATCACACAAACTAAAGTAGATTGCAGAAATATAAAAACAAATCTGTTGCTTTACCACACTACTTTGGGTAATTCAAAGTCACTGTAATAAACATATGTAAACATGTGCACTTTTTGGTCGCGCCCCCCCTTCCGGAATCCCCATCCCACCTCAGACTACCAAATAATTTCATAACATTATGAAAAATTTATACTTTTTTAATTAAAAAAACCTACAAGGAAACAAACACCTGCATCACTTGAAACATTGAAAAATAGCATAGAGAGAATAACTAACAAATCACACAAACTAAAGTAGATTGCAGAAATATAAAAACAAAGCTGTTGCTTTACCACACTACTTTGGGTAATTCAAAGTCATTGTAATAAACATATGTAAACATGTGCACTGCACTTTTTAAACACTGTCTGTTAACTTTAGACCAGTGGATCTCAAACTTTTTTTGGTCGCGCCCCCCCTTCCGGAATCCCCATCCCACCTCAGACTACCAAATAATTTCATAACATTATGAAAAATTTATACTTTTTTAATTAAAAAAACCTACAAGGAAACAAACACCTGCATCACTTGAAACATTGAAAAATAGCATAGAGAGAATAACTTATTATTATTATTATTATTCTCCTCTCGCAGTTATTTATTTATTTATTGTGGGTTTCATGCTGTCCGCTAAGGCATAGGACACACACAGGCTTTCCTCCTCACCAACAACATTAAACACCGTGTGTCTACACCGGACGCGAGCGGCAAAATACAGTAGAAACCATTATAATCAGTGACGCTGTATACACTGGATGCGGCGTGACAAGACAAAACCCGACATTAAACTGATGCCTTGTTCTATTTATGACGTACTGACTCAAAGTTAAAATGATTTGCAACGGTCGCTTTGCCGCGTCCAGTGTAGAGCTGTTGTGGCGCGACGCGACAACTGTAGCGTAGTGAAGCCGAGAGCAAGATAGGCCTTGTCATATTTTCTGCATTTAGCTTTTAAATGACCAGCACCTGTACTGGGTCTGTGCGACTTCATCTATGGCTTTTCTCTTCCCTTTCACAAACCAATCCATCTCCCATTCTAAGTTACGTCCTTTGGCTGTTTACTGTTTTATTTCTTTTCTTTTTCTGCCGATGGCCCGCGCTCGACTTGAAGCAGCGCTGCTTAGACCGATGGGTGTGTGTCATCAAAGTACTGCGAGAGCTATAAGAGCGCAGACGTCTCCTTATGCTTTCTCTCGCCGTACTTTGATGACACACACCCATCTGATATTCAAGTCCAACATACCTCTTTACTCTCGCGTGTCACGTGACCGTGTAATCGCAGCCTCTGCGATTGAAAAATCGCGTTATTTCATATCGCGATATTATCGCAAATGCAATTACTCGTTCAGCCCTACCATCTAGATCATGTTATTTTAAATATAGATGTTTTCATAAGGTTGCACAATATTGGTTATTGGTCAATATTATAATTTTTCTTTTAATTATTGTTTTTGGATCAATTATATTCTAAATATATAAATTTCTCATTTTCTCAATTTAGATTACCTTTGCTGTCACTAATGTTCACCTGAAGTTAATTGTTAAAACCCCTAATAATTAAATAACTCTGCACAATGTAATCATTAGCAAATGTCAAAATATTTATGCTTTTGTCATACTATACATTAAAATGGTTGTGATGCCTAACTTTCACTTTAAAACTATTTGTTTTCGTTTATACTGTTGTATTTTTTATTTATTAAGACAAAATAGAATAAAATTTGAATATCGGCCACTTGTTGTTATCGGCAGTGTTGTTACTGTTAACTAAAACTATTATAATCCTTTTATGTAATTACAATTAAGCTGACATAAAATAAAATATAAAATATTAGATAAAACATATTTATAAAATAAATATTAGATGAAAAACTTAGAATTAAAATTAGAAATGGTGCAGATTATCTGCATAGGCCAGATTGGACTTTTTAATGCACTCTTCTGGTTTACACAGCTAAAGCCCTGAAATAATGAGTCAATGTAGCCCACATTTAGCTCAAATGCAGCAGGCATGCTTGCAGATGGCAGTCTGAACTTGCCTCGGCCTGGGGGCCACAAGAGTTGTGTTGGCCGTGGATAAAAGATTGAAGGAGTTCAGTGGAGAGATATTGTGGACTCTGAGACTCCGACTGACAGGAAATGACACCTGACACAGTATGGCGGCTCGCTGACTCCTTTGACCACTGCGAATGCTAACTTGATCCTATACTTCCCCCGAGGCTAGGGACATCCTCACGAAATGCCAATTTTGCTGAAGCACAAAGGATAATGAGTTATAGGTTTTATACACTTTACATATCATCCATCTTTCTCCATTCATTTAAAATTGCACTATACACTTTAGACATAAATATAACACAACACAGACAAAACATAAATTCAGTGATGTGAAAGCATTACATGGCAAAAGTGTAGCAAAATCTTTGCATTAAGGATGCTATCAGTCCCGCCCTTGCCCTGGTGTTGCCATGGCAACCAGCACATGTATCGTCGACCGGCATTCAACCCTCTTTTTTGCACTAATCCAAGGACAACCACAGTAAACAAATACAAATAATTAACTTGCGTTTTTGATGACTTCTGTCTAACAATGTTTAGATGACCATGTGAAATGAGAATCTGACAGCCAAATTAAATCCTGCAATCCAGAAGGTGAGCCACACCCTCTTATTAAAAACCATTTCATATTTAAATGAGCAATTAGCCTATGAGACATTTGATAGGTCAGCAGAATTCTCCCTCGATATCAGCCCGAATATTTACATTAATTATGAACGACACCATCCAGAGCTCTACAGCGGAAAGACAGCAACATATCAAAGAATAAAAAGGTAAAATAAAGGACAAGAGGGAGATAAAGCTTCAGAAGCTACTGCTTTGAACCCACAACTGCCTCAGTCTTAACCCAGATACCTCTGAGGATGGGGTAGCGCTTGAAACAGATGTGACAGCAACATTTTGAACCGAAAGACCATAAGCTATCTCGATATGACAGCTCAGAGCATGAAAGATACCGTGAAAATAATCACTCATGCTGGAGTTAAACAACCAAACAACTTGTTCTCCTTTAAGCACATCCCATGACAATAAATGCAACCAAAACAAATGCTCAAGATAAGGAATACAGCCAGGAAAGACTCGTCAATTTGTGAAAGCAGTTTGCTTTCAAGGTGATCTCCGCTCACCCAGTCCAGTCATATTAAAATGGATGCCTGCGACGCGTTTAATACTCTCATTTTATATTTGTATGCATAATTCGGATGATTAAAGGAGAGCCGCATGTCTTGTCACCTCAGCGGACACACTGCAGAGCCGCACACGTCCACAGCGCTCAGTGAGAGAACGCACACCTGCCCTTCAAGGCTTTACGAGCTATTAAAACAGCTCAGCTGCCGTTCCGTCACAGCTAAAGAACAACACAGGAGAAATGCCCCGCAAACGTTCATTCAGACTGTCATGAGATGCTTGTGTTAACTTACCCTGTATGCCTTTGCTTACGGTCCGTTTAATGTTACATCCCTCAAGAGGAAACGAGACTGGCTCCAGAAGCCAAAAGGATCTTCTCTAAAAGGCTTGAGAAGAATGTAAATTCAAGGATGTCACTTCAGTCATTCTGAACATAAATGTGCCGTAGATCAGTCCCAGAACGCTTCCATATTCGAGAGCCGGCGTGAGCGATCCTCATCGGCTGACCGGTAAACACATGCAGCGTCTCCCTGCTGTTCAACAGACCATCTCATACAAACGCGCCCCCTTCTCTTTTCCCCTCCCTCTCTCTCTCTCTCTCTCTCTCTCTCTCTCTGAGGACACAGGCACAGATGTTACTAACGACAAGCCACACCTCTTTTCAACACCCAGGTCTCTCATAGGATACTGGCAGAGTTAGACTCCGCCCACTGCTCTTCACTTCTTTCCCTGCTTTCTCTCTCTCTCCTTGCGTTCTGCTGCAGTAGTTTGTTAGTTTGTTTAGAGAAGGGCTGTGAAATGGACAACCCAGGTGTGTGTTCGCTGCTATTTGTGTGTGTGCGTGTGAGCACTTAGCCATATTTTGTACCTAGAAGTGAGCTATACCTGACAAAACCTTTTGGAATATCCTCATTTATAAACATTTAAAATGTGTAGCTTTTTTCTTCTTCTAAAATTGCAGAAATGTTTCTGTTAAGGTTAGATTTTATAGCTAGCTGTATACAAAAAGAATAGAATCTATGGAATGTCCCCATGTTTACCAAAGTAAACGTGTATGTTTGTGTGTGCATATGATTTGTGTGTGTGCGTGTGAGCACTTAGCCATATTTTGTACCTAGAAGTGAGCTATACCTGACAAAACCTTTTGGAATATCCTCATTTATAAACATTTAAAATGTGTAGCTTTTTTCTTCTTCTAAAATTGCAGAAATGTTTCTGTTAAGGTTAGATTTTATAGCTAGCTGTATACAAAAAGAATAGAATCTATGGAATGTCCCCATGTTTACCAAAGTAAAAGTGTATGTTTGTGTGTGCATATGTTGAGGGCCGCTTAAAGGGATAGTACATCCAAAAATGAAAACTTCTGTATGATTTACTCACCCTCAATCCATCCTAGTTGTATATGACTTTCTTCTTTCAGACAAATACAATCGGAGTGATATTAACCCTTTGAGCGGTACGGTCCCACATACGGGATTTAGAACGTTCGGTGACGTCACATAACTGCCAAATTCAAACTGTGCTTTCACGCTTTAGCTGGCGCTGAGACGCCGCTGCACTTGTCACATAATCACAACTATGCAGTGGTTTTAACCACATAATGTTTATTTTAGGTTTCAGACATTTAAAGACACAAGTACTAGTAAAACAATACATTTAGAGTTCGTAAAATACACACAGATGTTTATGGAAGCAGCAATAACAATCCATTCAAATATAATTTGCCACCGTGTTTTATTAATATCAGATACACACAGAGTAACAATAAAGTTCACTCTATTCTTGTCCCAGTTCACCGGCCACTTACTTACATGTATTTCGGGAGAAATTTATGAATTTACGTGCGGTAAATCCAACTGACAGGATTCTCGGAACTGCACCGCGAACAAACATGGCGACGCCCACCTCACGTTACAGATCACGATCAAGCTAATTTAAAAAGGTTTTTAAACGACAAAACACACTCATTTACACATATTTGTGAATCGGAATATCAGATAACGAAATAAAATGAAATAAAAGCGATCCATCTGTCACACCGTGTTATTGTCGCCGCGGTGTGTCACGTGACAAGCATGACGCGTCGCCATAGAAACAATAAGGGGAAACGTTCTAAAATAATGGTCACCTTAAAAACTCACTCTGGGGGGACAGCTAGAATATTTTAAAGGGGTCATATGATGCTGCTAAAAAGAAAATTATGTGTTTATGCGGTTTAAGGTTAAAAAAACACATTATTAGCGTTCTTTAAGTGCATTTTATCTTGTGTGTGCTTTTCACAGGCTTTATAATCCAGGTGTATTTTGTAAAGATCTACACACATTTCATCTCGTGTGTGTGTGCGTTTGTGTTTTAATGAGCCTGTTTTGAATGTTCTATTGCACAACAACTGCAGCTATTTTCACGGAAATAAAGTTAACGAAAATCAAATACACCTTTTCAGTTTTTGCATTTTAGGTAGGTTTGCTAAGGTTAGATTCATATATTTAATACGTTTTAATTAATACATTACAATTAATAAAATTAAGAAACATGATAATTGCTATTTATCAGCGTGCTTAATTTTAGACAATAATCCAAGAATTTCGTTACAAACAGTAAACAATTAGGCCTACTAGAGAAATATTATGTCGGAGCGGGATCTGAGCGGGAATTGGTTCACAGTGAGCGTGAGCGGAATATTAACGGTGCGCTTGCTTGTGCGGTTAGAGTGACTGAGCGGAGCGCACGTCCATAGAGCGGAAAACTCACATGCTCTGGTTGTGATTGGCCGAATACCTCAAGCGTGTGATGGAAATGTTACGCCCCTTACCATATTGTGATGCCTGCGGCAACCACATGTGGCAACTCTAGGCTGGACTCCGCTTCGTCCACGGTGAAAGCTGATCCGGTGATCCACAGCGCGAAGTTGAAGTATTTCCTCAGCGACCAGCACAGATCAGCTCTAGGCATGACGAAGCGGATATCATCCTCTTTTGGAAGGCCAAACAAAGTAGTTTCGCGATCGCACATACTCTGTTTATACTATGGAGCGGCAGTACTTACCACACATTTTACAAGATTAGATGTTTGTCAGTGGTGCTCATGATCTGCAAATCATTCGCCACCGTCCTCAGTCATCTCTTACTTTGTTTAAGTGGTAAGTTAAATTTTATGTACTGTAATGTAACAGGCAACCGTTAGCAATTGTTATTTGTTTTCCGTGCCTTTCTAAATACTGATTCATGCTTCGGCAACACCCCCTAACTCCCCGCCCCCCGATGTCATCGTACATTGTGATGTTTCACTGTAGACATCGTCTGATGCCAATTTTGTAGACATCACCCAACCCTAGCCAGGATATTTTTTAATATAACTTTGATTGTATTCGTCTAAAAGAAGAAAGGCATATACAGTATACCTAGGATGGATTGAGGGTGAGTTTATCATGGAGTATTTCATTTCTGGGTGAACTATCCCTTTAAGAGAGAGTGAAAGCCTCAATGAATCTGTGGTTTTAGCAGGCTAATCATCATCTTAATTCTTTTGTAGAGAGCATGTTAGCAGATGCCTACAGTTCAAAGCCAAAGAAAAAAAGCATAGAGCCGAAAAAAGTCCTGTAAGATAAAAAAGAAGCACATGATCAATCAATTAATCAGTTTGTTGAGACCAAAGAGACCAAAAATACAGACCAACTTGTGGAGAAATGTTTGTCCAACAAAAAGCTAGAATGACAATGTCCCCTCCCCCTAATACCACCTGCCACTGACTAGCATTAGCAAGTTGTATGTAAGTAACTTGGGTCCCTGGGCTGTGGTGTACTAGGCATGGGGCAAAAAATATATTGTTATGAATTTATTAGTTTGAAAAAAATAAGGTTTTATTAAGAAAATAATAAAGAAATTAAGAAATGTTTCTCAAGTACCAAATCAGCATATTACTGCATATTTCTCAGATATATGACTGCTGATAATTCAGCTTTGTCACCACAGGAATAAATTACATCTTAAATATATTAAAATAGAAAACAGTTATTTCAAATTGTAATAATATTTCACAATATTACTGTTTTTACTTGATTTTATAAAATGCAGCCATGGTGAACATAAGAGACTTCTTACAAAAACATTAAACAAACTTACTAAACATTTTTAATATATGAAATATGCATTGCAGAGACCTCCAGGAAATGTATTAAAGCTGACATAAATCATTTATTGAAACAATTCAATGATACAACTAAGCAACTCAACTTAGCCCATCTTTGAATGGACAAATAGTCTTGCTTCAACAATTTTCTTCTTCAAGCAGCAGAAAATTGGATTTATGGCTTAAATAGCATTGAGGAACATCTGATGGTGGGGGGGGCTAATAACTATTGTTGGTTTTTGGCACAGGAGACCTTGTGGCAGCTGCAGACATACTAACTGTGGAGAGCAGGGAACAAAACACTGAAGCTACCCTCCCGTGGAGCTTGTGGAAAGCTTGTCTGAAAGTCCCCACAACCTCTGCCGACCCTCGGTAATCAAGCGATGACAGCCTGAACACAGTGGAACAAGTGTGGTAGTTGTCAATCAACTGATAATTAAGAGTGTTTGCTCTTCCCGTCTGTCCTAGTTCTGTGTTTATGGTAGTTAAGCATGACATGTACAGGAGTCTCTAAGCTAGAAGTTCAGAACGACATAGAGGTGTAGCCTAGAAAGTATAAACAAACACACATACAGCCAAACAATATTCCTTACAGAGGTCCATGGCTTCGGAAGTGTAGACAGCCTACTGTATGTGTATATGATCGTATTTGGTCCCTCCGGCAAAGCTTTTACCCTCGTGTTTATTTTCCACTTCATAAGGCTTGGTTAATAACTGACAATGTGTAAGGAATATGCTAACAGCTAAGCTCAGTTCACCTGTTTAATCAACCACACGGTAACATGACAGGCATCTGCTTCCTTCTCAAAAGCACTGCCAGCAGCTGCAAAAACAGACAAGCCCCATTCCCATTGGAATAGCCATGAGAGAGACTGGAAGAAAGCTTATGGCTATGAAGAGGAGAGAGTGGGCTATTAGGCTGGACGCTAATAGGGTTGTGAAGCAGGGTGCAGATCTTTTATGTGGAAGCGCTATAGACGTTTTGACTGATGAAATCATTACATTTGTAAACTAATAACGTTTTGGCCAATACAAATATCAATACAAATATCTACGGACTCATCAATTTAGAAAAAATTCTGATTGGTACAGAAAAGCTCGTATTTTGTCTGTGTAAATAAATTACACTTGAATTACATTTAAAATGAAATGTTTACAGTAAATGCTACAAGTGAATGTTTAGGCATCACAACCTTCTATTATACCTTTTAGATAGATAGATAGATAAGATAGATAAGATAGATAAGATAGATAGAATACAAGGTTGTGATGCTTTAATTAACTATATCTAAATCTTATATTTTAACAAAACTTATATTATCAAATAAATATGTGTTGGTAACTAACTGAAATAATTTTGATTTGAATGACTGAAATGACTAACTAACATAAAATAAAGAAATGCAATAAAAAAAATTTAGAAATATTTTTAAAAACAGAAATAAATTA